ACCCCCCCCCCCCCGAAATCTGCCCTCCGCAGCTTCGCTCGCAACAGGGTCCGAGAGTGTGACTTATCGACAGGGTGGTCATTGTTTCGACGGCGATTCTGGACGCAGGATGATCTGTGCGATTGATTGAGACCACTTCTGACGTATGTCAATTGTCAATGCGTTATAAAGATGTTTACGACAATTTCCGAATCGATTCCGTTTTCTATTCATGTGACCGGATCTTTGAAACGAGAACTTATCTGTCATTAACTCAACGAGTTATTGGTGCCACTGCACAGAGTAAGAACAGCCGCGGGCTGATTGTTGAAATTGATATACAAAGCTAGAGACAAAGCAGACATACGGAAAATGTAACGATCATATTGGTTGAAATGTTCGGTTCTTATAGACTAAGGGAAAAAAAGATGGACTAACTGATGGGTCTCTGGTGGATTGCCGTTAGTTAGTCTATTACCTACTTCCTTTGCCCATTTCTCCATTGCGACCACCTGTTTCCACCAATCGTCCTTCATAGCCCTTATGTCTTCTTTGTCTAAAGCTTTGTCTATAAATTTCAACAATCGGCCCGCACAGTATGGAAGTATTCAGTATGGATCAGTCGGAAGTATTCGCACAAGTTTGATCATGAAAGCTCAATGCTCATGCTCATGTTGAATTTTTTTCAAAATGAAGCTGACAAAAATAACCCCAGAAAATTCGTGTGAATTTTTGAATGGGTGGAGAGCATTTGTAGGAAATATTGCAAATACCGGTTTCTTGGTTTGTTTCAAAAGAAAATAATAGTATATAGATCGTATTCGATACATCAAACGGGTGAGATTGTATCGATATCGATTGGTTCAAAACATAAGCATAGCCTCAAAAGTAAATTCAGAAATCTGAGAGAACGGATCTTTTGAAACAGATTTTTTATTCTCTTGAGTACCAAATGCCAATGCAAAGTGAAATAGTCAGGAAATTTCTTATTTTCAGCTTTTCCTATTTAAATCTTTAGAGTTTGGTTTGAGGTCATGTTCTATTGTTTTGAACCAAACGATACATCGAACCGTTATCGAATACGGTCTATTATCCGTAGTGTATTTTCTGCGGAAAATATACACTAATGAAGAATGAGCGGAGGTGTGCAGCATCACAATCGGCCGGACTTGTGCATTTTTCAAATCTAGCCATTATCGTTTCTGAGACAGCAAATATATTCCACGATTGCTTGTGCCCCTGAAATGTTTTTTCATGTAATGGTTTGCCTTGCAAGATCTTACCTCTGTACTCGTCACCCTCAAGCACTAGGCCTTGTCCTTACGGGACGTCGCACAGTGGATCGAGTCAATCAGAGAGGTCGGACATGAAATTTTTTACTAAAACTGCGAATTTTCATGTTTATTTCGTTCAATTTTACATTTTTAGGGGTGGTTCTAGAAGAAAATTTCACTAGAAAACTAATGAAACCACTCTTAGAGCCTCAAAATTTTGTATAGACGGAGTTATGAGTGGTTAAAGATTCCAAGTTTTGTCCGATCTATCCTATTGATTCGATCCAGTGTGCGTCGTCGGGACGTCCTCATGAACTGTGTCCCAGAGAAAAGTCTTACTTGCGAAGTTGGCAAAGATATCAACTAACTCAATATTGGTCGCAGTACCAAGTACAAGTATGATCCTTGTACTCCTTGCAGAGATTTAAGAGGAACTGAGAGAGGAAGAAGGAAGCAAAGTATATTGTGTGATATTTAGTCGTTAACAAGATTGTTCGCGGTTGTTTCATTTAAATATTAATTTTAATTGGACGTATTCATACCGAACGAAACTATGTGCATTAAGACATGAGCTCTGAGACCCATGAGAATATAAGCATAACAGGGCTCACGTCATAATGCACATAGTTCCGTTCGATAGAAATAGTCCAATGGACCACTAGACAAGGTACGAATTAAAGGATTCTGATACATGTTTCTTAACGAAAATTTCACGTAGAACACGATTCGAGCAACGAAAACGACGGAAACCAACTCCCAACGAAGATATTAACGTTTTTATTTCACATTGGTTACGAGGAATTTGAACTGCCCGCTCACAAGAAACTCAAAGCCCTACGTGAGTCAAATCGCGCACTACAACGGTTTCAGCAAGCTTCTCAATCGAGCAATGTTCATTTTACACCATGTGTTTTTCAAACCATAAGTTATTTTCTATAGCTGGGCCAAAGCGTCAAGATTGAGGTTGCCAGATTTTTTTTTCGCAGAAACGTTCATGATAACGTTAAGCGCGCGATGTGAATCACGTAGAGCATTGAGTTTTCATGAGCGGGTGGTTTCAAATCACGCACCAAGAATCATTAAACATCTTCGGAAGGAGTCGAATTCGGTAATTTTCGTTGTGCGCATCGTGTTTTACGTAAAATTTTGGTCATGAAACGTGTATCAGAATGCTGAAATTCATACCTTGTCTAGTGCTCCATTGTTCAATGTGCTTAATCATTATCTTGATACCGTTTAAATACGCGGTACTTACAAATTTATGTTCCCGCGCAAACGCAAACTTGTCGCAGGAACGTGAGAACACCGTCCGTGGATACGGTATCTAACTGCGAGAAATCCCTGAAGTTTTACTCTCAGGATTCGACCCTGAGACAAATCTCATGAAAAGTTCCCGTTAAGACGAGGCCTGAAATTATAGACTGTCATGTTACTTTTACTTTCAACCATATGAACGGTGTAATTCGATTGAAACTGTATAAATGCTTTATCTGTGCAGTTGAATCCTGATCTCAGTGGCTGAGCAGCGGTTGATAAAGCAGCGATGATGAAACTAAATATTTGGACAAAGAATGTCTGTACGAAGGTCAATGAAATACATAGGTACACGCCGGACTTGTTCTACAAATGTCACGTAAGTTTACGACACACACTATTTTTTCGAAATCTCGCCGAACATGTTTGCCCGCAAAACTGCACGGAGAGTATTAAACCAGAGTTATGCCTCCGTGTCTTCTGAGGTTATTTTTTTAAGATTCCTATTTAGTAAACGTACTACATCTGGCAGTAAGGGACTACTATTTGTAGCTCAGTATGAAAAGTACCTATCTGCGTAAGGATCCTAATGAGACATAATTGAGCCAGAAATAGTAGCTCCCAGTCGCAAAATGTAGTCCAATCAGATCAATGGGATGGCAAGGGCTGTTTAGGTTGTATTTGCATCTCGTAAGGAGGTCATATTGTGACTTATTCAAGAATTTCATAGTTTTCACTCTCCTCGAGAGAGCTTTCTGACCTTAAACAGCCTTTTTCCCTTCTTCCCCAGGTCCTTCAGAAATTTTTGGCCGCATTCTTTCAAATAGTGTTTTGCGAACATTTTGAAACGAAAACGCTCAAAATGTTAGTCCAAAATGAAGATACTAACCGCTTAGAAATTTTCAGTTGATAAAAATATTTATTCTGGGAGAAAATTTTTAGAAATGCTCTCTACCATGTAAACAACAAAACATAGCACAAAATTGCTTGATTATGATGCAACTTAATAGGTCCAATGTTGACTCAAAAATGAAGGAACCCGCTTATAACTTCTTATTCAAGACCTTATCTGTGAGATTTCTCCGTCGATTTTGCGACTCAATCCTACATGAATGGCTCCAAATGAGGATTTTGCATTCATTTGTCATGGACAGTCACCGAGGGAGAGGCGTGAACAATCGATTATCGATATTTCCCCATTTGAACTATGATAAAGCATCGATTATTAAGGTGTTCGTGGCGAACACCCTGCTTATCGATCCTTTTTCATGGGGATAACTATTCGACCAATCGCCATATCGCAAAGCACGCCACGCCACTGTAAGGAATGCCTCGAAAATACATTTCTTTGAGCTAAATGGAAGAAAATAATTGACAAGAAAAATGGTATTGTTTCTTATGAAAATACCATCTAAATTAAGTTTACGGCATTATTTTACGCAGTTAACCTTTTAGAAATCTGGAGAACATAGCATTTAAAAATAAGAAATTTCGACATTTGAAGACATCATTTTCCTCTGCATTCTCGCTTAAGAACTTACAATGCGGTAGATTCGATCTATTTTTTGTGTAATCTTCTATATTTTCAAATTTTAAAAATTAGGAGAGTTCCTATTGTTCGTATCAACCAAAACAATTTTCATCACCAAAGGCGACGAAAGTATTCTTTTGGATGATTTCTCACCAATAAAATCAACGGTGCCTTCAATCTGCAACTTGGGCATCAGTAGAGTATGTATAGTTGCCTCCAGGAGTACGAATAGTTGCATCCCAAATAATTTAGGGCGCTTTTAGTTTTATTACATCAGCACAGCTTTCACAGCATCATCTAGTTTAAATACACAAAAGTCACATATTTTCCGAATGAAAAATAGTGAATTCGAGGCAGATTCGGCATCAATAGCGCCTAATTTCCATGAATAACGCTTGGTTTGCTGGGTCAGCATGGAAGTAAGTTTTGATGCAATTACTGGCGGAGTGAGGTTAGGGTCGGGAAACTTACGCCCCCTGCTCAGCGCGCAGGATTCGAGCTGGTCCCAGAGGTGAGTCAGGCGAATAAGCATCGCTTATAAATGGGAGATCGAGACCATTGCGAGGAAACGTGTTGATTGCCGATTTATTCGAATCGAATCGGCGGATGTCGAATGCTTACCAATGTTGTCATGTCGCCGTGAAGATGCAGCCTCTCACAGCACAGCGGGTAGATTGTTGAAATTGATATACAAAGTGATAGACAAAGAAGACATAAGGAGTGTGGAGTGATCCCATTGGTTATAATGGGTGGTTTTTATAAGGGGGTAAATGATGGGCTAACTGTAGGGTATCTTGTATATGTTGCCGTTAGTTAGTCTAATCCCTACGCTCTTTTGTCCATTGCAACCACCCGCTTCCACCAATAGGATCCCTCCATATCCTTTTGGTCTTCTTTGTCTATACCTTTGTCTACCAATTTCAACAAGCAGCCCGCAGGTCGAATATACTAAGGGTCGTATCACTCGTATCCTTTAGGACGCTCTGTATGGTTTACGTTGTTATTTTTAAGTATTTGAGAAGATCCTTGACATAACATCATAAAAAGGACAATTTTAGCAAACCTCGCTAAAAATTCAGCAGGAAGTATATCATTAGAAAAAAAACAAGAAGGAAACGGGAGACAAGGCTAAAAATACTCAATATAACTTCCAGACGTGTCGGCTCAGAACTGAGCCATTTTCATCCAGAGGAATGAGTACAAAATAAACAAAATTTCGAAAAAAACCTGAAATCTACATGACGGTTGGTTATTCTCGATTCTCGGCTACCATCATGAAGGTTTCAGGTTATCGTGATCTCAAATTTTTCAGCTTTTGACCATTCCTTTTTTCCCTACGGACCCCAACTTCAGCTTATTTTTGCCCTCCATCCTACATGACGACAATATGCTTTAAAAATCCCGCGCCCACAATCTAGAGAACGTCATCAAGTGATGCCAAAGCTATATTCGGGACTAATCGCAATTTTTGCGCGAAAAAATGGGTGATGAACGACTTGCTGAGCAACATATTAAATGGAATTCGCCCTATAAAGACCGTTGAATGTCGGGATGCGCACTTTGGTAGGCGAGTTTTTGCAAATTAGATCGGAATCGCGTAATCAATCGCCCAACTCTTCAATCATTGGGCGAATGTAAGCATTGACTTGTCAAATTGGACGTATTCTTGCTAAAGGGAATTATGTGCATAGGGTTTGTGTGGGACATAGTTCCTTTTGGCATAAATATGTCCAATTGGCCTTTGCACTACACATAGCAATCAGGGGTTTCAAAAATATATAATCTCTGGCGGAGACTTGCGTGGCTCAGCGAGATATCCACACAGGCGGATTCGCACCGGAAAATTTCAATGCTTAGTGCACAGTGCTTTTTAAAATGTTTCTTCTCCGGCAATGAAACTGGCAAGTATATGCCGTACTGCGAATAGATCGTTACTGTACCTTCGTCACGGCCAGAACGCCTTCAGTTTTTTACATGCAACCAGTACAACCCCTGAGCACGAATAGTTGCAAGCATTCCCATTAAGGAAGGTAACCACACTAGATGCATCTGAGTGTTGAATTACGAACTAAAGAGGATGTAGCAGTGCAATATATACCAAATATAGGGTGATTAAAAAGTCTCTAACCACAAGCACCAGGTACAACTCACGTCACTTATGAACAAATTGATATAGAGATTTGAAAGTGTGTGAGTGCTCCGAGATCCAAAGAGACTACCTACTGGCACCCCCACACTTTTAAATGTACTATTCTAAAAAGGGGAGTGAACTCTAGCCAGGGGTTATAGGGGTGTTTGGTGAGGGATTTTTGGATCAACCCATATTTCCTCCGGTTGCAAAATGCCCGTGGCTATTTTTTTTCTATGTAGGTGAATGGGAGTGAAGGAGCGAGGGTGATTGGAATCGGTGGTCCGAAGTATAGAGATCCATCCCTAGATCTAGAGATTATTCAGCATTTCTAGGGTTGTAGGGATTTTTCAGACAAGAAGGGAATAGGAATTAAGGGATTTTTCTGACAAGACGAAAAGAAGTTAGAGACGGTTCATTCGCTTAAAATTTCAGCTTCGATTCGACAAAAAATAGTTGATTCATCGTATGACGTCGTGATCCTACGATGAAAATATCCTTGTTTGCTTAATAAATCTAGCGATTTCTTGAACAAATCGCCGTTTCCCGGACAAAGGAATGTACCCCAATCGAAAGATGCAATATTGATTCAAATATAATTCAAATTTGCACAAGAAAGTGCCAATACAATTCATATTTGCCAAAATTTTTCTCATTTTTACATGGGATCAGAAATAAATCAGTAAAATTTTCAGTTTGAAACACCCATTATTCTCCCGGTAGAAATGCGAGTTGCGAGGGAAAATTTGGTAAAATGAAATGTAGTAACGCTCTTTCGTGGAGGAGGGGGCGAAATCTGAGAATTTACGATTTTCAGCAAAATCTAGGGATTTTTAGCAAAATCGAGGGATTTTACTCGGGATCAATGTTTGATCGCGCACGTGACAACACGGCAGCGCATTTCTTAGTGGAAGTGTTGAGGACTAAACTGCTTTCTTTGACAATTACGCGGGCGGAAAAGGAAATTAAAGTGGTCTCCTCCGCTCCGACCCTGCTACCGCGGCGTTTCAACCGGTGATCACTCACGTAATAATCATAATGACGACGAAAGTAGTCGTGTGTTTGAATTAATCACCGCCGTGACGCCACCAAACTGATCCGTCTTAAAGCTCCCCTCCGCCCCCCTGACCCTGCCTCCCGCTCCCACCCCCTCGGTTCTTCAAGTTGCCGGATGACCCTTCATCATTCTTCCGACACGTAAAGAGTGGGGAATGCTGCATGTACTTACCGCGGCCCCGACAGATAATGGGCCCGTGTGTGGGGCTTTTTGGGGATCTTTCCAGCAAGCTCTTTACACTATTTTTCTTATGAATTCCACATTCTTGCTCTTTCTATCCCTCTCTTTCATTTGGCTTCTCTCTCTTCCTTCTTTTCATGTTCTACTTCTCTTCATCTTTTTTCTTGTTCTTGTTCTTTTTATTCCTTTGCTTCCTCTTCAATCAGACAATCCCAGAAAAAAAGGGATGACCGAAGGGGACGCTCCCCGGAAAATTTTGTGAGGGAGCATTCGTAAATTGGACTGCATTTTTCAGTGTATCTGTTGTACGTGAGAGATACAGGCAAGTGCGTAGACTCTCTGCATGTAAAATTGCACAAAAATCAGGTTGAGCACTTCGAAAAAATCTGAAATCTCCTCCCTAGTACCCAATATTCGTAGTTTGTAACACGTTTCTTTCAAATTTACCGCGTCTGCGGGCAGTTTTTCTTAGTAATCGGCAGT